CAGGAAGCCCAAACCAACACCAACTGGAGGTTTCTCGACATATGAATCGGCCCCCTAAAATGGCCTCAGGGTGGCCTCCGGGTGGTTGGCGTCCCTTTCCAACCATCCAAAAAGGGTACCCTCAATCATGACACACCCTTCTTGCAATACCAAGATGAGAACCAGTCGGGGGGCTCCTGAACAGGGAGCCCCCCAATCATTTTGGCAGAAAACATGTGTGATTCCTTTCATAGACATCCCTCATCTTCGATGTGTTGCAATGGTGCGTCGTTGACATGTGTCCACCAAGGAATTTAGAACATGTTTCCCCGGTTCCAAACCATAGCCATGTCACAGGGGATTCTCACCTGACCAAAGAACCTGAACATGAAAGCATAACCTGTGGACTCTTTCCATGTTGCACATCCTCTCGGTGGGTTGTAGCTATGGACAGCAACCCTGCTTCTAGCTGGGGGGTGGGTGAGGGTACCCAACTCCCGAGGCATTTGAGCAGCGCCCAACATGGTTAAACAGGTTTACGTAGACCTTCAATGAAGCCAGGGAGTACATTCACGCCAGTACTTCCATTTGCTCAAGCCCTCTGGCAAAAAAAAAACGACATTTCCAGTAGTGATAGATTCCATTAAAAACCAGCAGGAGGAACTAACAACATATTCTCGAGCAAATGGAAGAGTAGGGTTTCTGCGGGCTTCACCTTTACCAGTCCTTCCGCACAACCGCTTCGAAGCTGTCGTTCGCCGAGGGCGAATGCGCAATCTCCTCCTGGCAAGATTTCGTTCCCCATCAGTTGCAAGCCTCAACAGCAGGTGAATCAGAATGGGTCACGTCTACCTCAGCTTTGGCTCCCATCCTCAAACAAAAGCTTGGTCCTGTTCTGGCCCATATGTCTAGTAGGATGAATGAATTTCAAGAAAGATCCCAAGTAAGTTCAAAGACAAATGGTGCCAATTGAATGCTGAGAAGGATCACATCAACCGCTGCAAGTGCTAGCCAGGGGTATGCAGCTGCGCTGTTCTCGCGCTGACAATGCGCAACAAACAACTTGGTGAGGGGGGGGGGGGGCTGGATCAAACAAACACCTCCCCCGTTTGTGTTTTGTCCGTATCGCGGCTGAACCTCCCCAGAACCCGCAGCCGTTTTGTCCGCCTTCCCATTTTGGCATTTCGTGAAACGCGATCTTCCAAGCAGAAACTTAAGTGTCAGGGGGGGGCGGGGGGGGCGGGGGAACACACGCCTTGCATCATTGTATAAGCGGGCGGCCGGTTCCTCGTGGCGTCCTTGTGACACTGGATGTTGCCGAGTTTTTGCCCGGTGAACATTTGGTGATGTCATTCCCCTCACAGAAGATGACAGGGTTTACGGTATTTCCCCACAACAGTAGTTCGCAGTCAGTCACAAGTAATAGTAGCTGCAGCAGCAGCTGCTAGGATGTTCACGTCATGTGTTCGGGGAACAGACACTGTGAATGATGATTTTGTGTAGGTATTCAGCCTCCCCCAGGCCCTTCCAGTGGCCGCGGGGAAAAAGGACCGTTTTTTGATGCTTTTTGGGTAGTTGATTTTAAGCTTTAAAGGGGGGGGCCTCCGGCAAAAAAAACACAGGAAACACTACACGATTGGTCTCTTATGTTGTCAGACACTGCCCAGCCAGCCTGCATTCGCTTCGCGATGTGCCTCGCAGTCAACGAGCCGTTGTTCACGGGCAATCGGATATTTCGAGCTGTTCGGGAAAGATTAACTTGACATTGAAACACCCGCCGCAACAACTACTGATCATGTTCGTGCACTTTCAACAGGAGATATAGCAGCTACCCTCAACCATTTTTGCACGCAACGTTGGGCGTGGTTAGTTTTACTTGCGCTCGGGGACTCACGGTGTCCGGCCGTGTTTTGCCATGCGGGCTTTTGAAGTGAGAAAAGCCGAGGGCCCGGGACCTTGGAGCCACCCCCCCAAACCTCGCTAGCCACAAGCCACCCCAAACGGCCAGATTGTTGTGGCCCAGTAACAGAAACCGATGGAAGCCCGCCTGTTTTTCAACCTACCATTTTTCGTCTAAGTTAACATGACATGCGTGGAACCCTGGGAATGTGAAGCGGTGCCGGAATCTCCGATCGCCAGTGCGATTTCCCGCAGTCTGCCTGCCTGCGCACCAACCGAGGCTGGGATTAGTAGATATCGAACATTTGGTGTCTTGACCGGAGGCGGCATCTGGCCAAGGAAGGGTGGCGTTGGAGCAGGAGGAAAGGAGGGCGCCCCGGCTTGGACGTGTAGCCCTCCTCCCCAAACGTTGCAGCGCCAGCGGAAATCTACAGCCCGACAAGAAGATGGAGCATCTGCGAGCCCTGCGTCCAAAATGATTTAAAAGGATTTACGAGATGGCAGGTTGGCATAACGCGCGGATGCCTGCCTAACGCGGGGTGTTATCTTGGAGCCCCGCTAGCGCGCGGATCCCTTGGACTCGCGTGGCCCTCAGACTCATCCGAAGCTGCCGTTCAGCTTGACGCTCGCTGCTTGGAGGTGTCTCGTTTGCGCGACAGGCTCGTTTGCATCAATCTCTCGTGAGGTCCAACAAGGTCTGAGCCTCCGCAACCGTTGCAATGATTAATGTCCAGTTGCGCGCAGCTTGACTCTGAAAACGCCAGGCAAAGTGTGTGGGCTTGTGCCAATCGCTTGCGAGGCGCACATATTATCAGCATTACTTTGCGAACCTCGAACAAGGAGTTCGGTAGGGTGTAGGGCATGGACCCCCCCCCGTGTCTACTGGGAACGCTTGTGGGAGAAGGAATTACCGGCAGTGAACTGGCCTGCCCCGCTTTCCCTGTAAGCCCCCGGGAAATGGGCAACCTCCTTAAAACGCTTGTTTTCTTGTTTCTCAACACCTGTTCCCCAACAAGTGATCCGAAAAACCAGTCCTCGGAGAATACCATGAAGTCTCTGCACAAAGCAAAAAATCAGAAGCAAAATTCCAAACATCACGCCTTGACGCAAATTCCACTTCAGCGGGTGGGGATCTTCTAGGGCCGCGGACCATGAACTGAAAACTGGGGCTCACCTGCTCAAGCACTTCCCAGGACCTAACACGTACGACGTCTGATTTACGTGAACAAAAACATGACAAAATGCCCAGAGGTCCCTGCAAAGGTTGGCTTGCCTCGTGTGAGCTGCAAACTGAGCCGGGCGCAAAGCCACAAGCGAGCCGCTAAGTTTGCCAAGGTCCAACTTGGTAGAACTATATCTAAGATTTGCGCGCACCGGCAAGGCAATTGTTTTTTGGTGGCCTTGTGACACTCTTCAACCTGCAAACAAACATTCAGGAACCTTTCAAAGATAGTGTGGCAGTTTCGAGCAAAGGGCCACCTTGTGAAAAGGTGTTCATCTCTTTGCCAACAAAACGTGGGGCATCCTCCTCTTTCATGGACCCTCACTCCAAAGGCCGGCCCCCACACAGTCCCTGATCTTTCCAACAGGTCGAAAAGCGAATGGGCAACGGTCAATATGAGTCACAATCAAAACCCTGAATTAAAATGCTCTACCCAGAACCATGTAAAGAATTCAGAAGGCGGCCACAGCTATTTATGGCAAGCGGATTGTCCCTTGCTAACCTGCATCTACCCGGGTTTTGAGTGTGGCTCATATGATTTTCCACTGCAGCACAGCGAATGAGCCTGCGCCAACCAGCTCTCAATCCGGTTGAAACGTCAGTTGGGTGAGCGTAACACATCATGGGACTCTGCCTTTCTTTCGTCCACCGTGGCTCCCAAGGAGTAAATCGTCACGGGGAGGCTCCATTAGCTTCGTGGGTCACAAATGTTTTGACAAGTAGATCACCCGGGACCCCGGAATCAATCCAAAAGTGGCTCCAACGCCCTCTTTAATGGGACTCAGAAGCACATGGTCGGTGTGTAAGGCCGACATCCCGAAACAGAAATCTAGTCATATATAATAGTCTATAATCATTATATCTTAATGTGTTCGTGTATTTATTTCGTGCATCGTTTGATTGACTTATTTCTTTATTTCGTTCACATGCGCCATGTACGGTGCGACAGATGCCTTCCTCTGCGCCATTAACCAGGCCTTGAGCCTGTTGCAAGTGTAGTGGATACAGCTGCGCTTCAGTTGCCCCGATTTTAGCATATATACACATACATATACATATATATATATACCTATATGTACATATAACTATACACATATACACATATGTATATATACATATATATATATATATGCATACATATATACATATGTATATAAATATGTATATATATATATATGTATATATATTAGTATATATAATGCACATACAATGTATGTCAGTGTACACAGGTGTTGCCCCTTCTTGGTTGGTGTTGGAGGAAACAAAAGGAAGCCACACATCTTCTATGAGTCAAACCCACGTGCATACATGACCAAAGAAAACGATGCCCTGGTAATGTTGCCCGTTGCTCCTGTACGCTTCCTTCCTTGTACGCTCCAACGGGCTCAAACCTGAGGGCAAGCGCGAACCCTCCAGGAATAGTTGGAGTTTGGCCAAACGAGCCGGGCTGCACGGTGCCCGCCATTGGTTCATTGCTCGTATCCCGCCTCGCCGCTTCTAAACTAGGTCCTCCAGAGAGGCTAGAATAAGGCTACCAACTTTTTATGTAGCCAATTTAGTGGAACCCTCCCAACCAAAAAAGGCACCTAGCTGGGGGACGTAGTAAATCCTCAAGAGCGGATCTGCTGCTTTCGCTCCGAAGGAGTTCAGCGTTTCCGGATATCGGCTTGTGTCTGACCTGTCATACTCGACCTAAGCACCCGCGCACACTGAAAAGGATAAGGAAAAGAGCCGAAAGGCACATGTTCTTCGAATGGCGCACTTTGGCCGTGCAGACCTGCATGGCAGCATGGCAGATTCATGCAGCAGTCAAATGAACTCTAACTGCTTTATTGAGCAGACCCCGGCAGGTAAGTCCAGCTCGTCTTACGGGTCCATTCCTTCCGCAATAACTGGGATCTGGGGGCCCAGGCTCCAGCATGGGCACGTCCAAGGGTGCTTGACCTAGAGCCTTGATGCCTCGGCAACGGCCGATGGCCTGTAAGATGCGAGAGAAAATCCGACAGGAATGCACCCTTTGATGTTCAGAAGCCCCTCCGTGGAAGAAAAGGGGGCTTTTGATCAACTCACTCACTTCCTGAGTTGCTGGCCCAAAGCAGAGTCCAAACTTTTCGTCCAAACCCCAGGTTCAAGTCCATGAACTCTGGGAGAGAGTTAAATGGAAACCCACTTCACCGAAAACAGCCACTGGATGCACCGCATGGACCCAGCATGGACCCAGCGAGTCGAGCGAGTCATTGAGGCCGCCGCAAGCTTCGCCTGGCGAAGTGCAATAAGGTGACTTCATCTTTCCGGGCGGGCGGGCGGGCGTGTGCGCGTGCGCGTGCGCGTACGCGGCGGTGGGGGGGTGGGCGTGGGGTGTGGGCGTGGGCGTGGGCGCGGGCGTAGGCGTAAGGGCGCGGGTGGGGGCGTGGGCGTGGGCGGTGGGCGGTGGGCGTGGGCGTGGACGTGGGCGTGGGCGGTGGGGTGGGCGTGGGGTGTGGGCGTGGGCGTGAGAGTAGGCGTGGGCGTGGGCGGTGGGGGTGGGCGTGGGATGTGAGCGCGGGCGTGGGAGTAGGCGTGGGCGTGGGGGGAAGGCGTGGGCGGCGTGGGTGGGCGTGGGCGTGGGTAAGTGGGTCATCGTGGGCGTGGGCGTGGGCGTGGGGGTGGGTGCATCGTGGGCGTGGGTGGGTGGGCGGCGTGGGCGTTGTGGGCGTGCACGTGTATCGTGCATATCTGGGCGTGGGCGTGGTGGGCCGGGCGTCGTGCGTGGGCGTGGGCGTGGGCGTGGGCGTGGCGTGGGCTGTGGGCGGCGTGGGCGTGGGCGTGGGCGTGGGTCATGGCGTTAGTCTATGGGCGCGTGGGCGTGGGCGCTGGGCTGTCGTGTGTGTGTGTGTGTGTGTGTGTGTGTGTGTGTGTGTGTGTGTGTGTGTGTGTGTGTGTGTGTGTGTGTGTGTTCGAGTTGTGTTGTGATCATGATTCCTGTTAATCAGCTTCTGGCTAAGGGGGGGTTCCCATTTGCCCTCTACAAAAGCCAGTTCAAATCCCAAACCACCAACTAAGCTGGGGGAAGCTTCCATTTCCATTCTTTCCAGGGATCCGAATCTTCACAGGAAAGCATCAAACATTTAGGGAAAACAGGGATCGGTTTTGAAAAGAAGGATGGTTGCAAAGAATTGGGAATCATCCCCTAGAAGGTCTGGAGAAAAAAACAAAACAAGCATACGCGGCTTTCTTTTTGGCAGATTGCGCATTGTTAGCTAGTTGGCACTTAGATCACTGAAGCTCCCTTCCTGAGCCGAGGGGCGAAACCGAACCTGATGGGTTCTTCAGAAAACAGTGCTCTCAAAAAAAAGCATGAGCTCCAAAATCTCATGGGGGTGAAGTAAGATTCCTTCGCAGGTGTCCGGGGGAAACTCACGTTTCCGCCGTTTCGCCGCTCGCTGAACCGCAGAAGCTGCCTGCTTGGTGCAACTCCGTCTGACATTGCGGACCTCAGGAACTGGATCATGGCCGGTCGCGAGACGTCCATGTTAAGACCCCTGCGAAAAATAAAAGAAGAATAAGTCACATAGTGATAGACTTCCTTTAAAATCGCTTTTTGTTCTTTGTAAATTAAGGAAGGACATATAAGCACATTTGGGGTGACGGATTTTTAGGCGCGCTCATGTCGCTTCCCTACGGCGACTTTGGTGACCGCCCAAAAACTCGGTTGCTTGCGCAAGGTTGAGCTATTCTAGAACTGGAGCAAGGGTAGACTGGCACCTGACAGGCAGCCCCAAGCAACGTGCTTGCCCTTTGGGTTATACGTCAAAGGCTCAGAATAGCTTTATTTGCACAGCCAGACTCAACCCTCAAGTTATTCCGTCATGTTTCTGGTTCGAAGAGCCTGGATCGCCAGCGATCCTTTTTTTCCCATCCACTCTACCCCAAAGACCAGCAACAGTGACTGAAAAAACAACTGGCACCTTGGCCATTTAGGAGGCTTCGTTTGAAGCAACCTTCGTTTGAAGCAACCTTCGGTTTTTTCGGGCGGCAAATGAGACAAATGGCGACTGCCGTCGAGCGCCCAGCCCAAAAGCTGATCCTCCGGATCTTGAAGCCACTCCTGCACCTGGGCGGCATGGGCGGCATGGGATTATAGCTCTCACAGAGAAGAAAGAAAGAATTAAAAAAGGAAAGATAGCAATATGAAAAAGACAAGTAATTCCTAAGAAGAAGACCATCATTTCTATTCTCTTCATTTCGTTCTTATGGTTAATCCTAGCCTTGTATCCTCGCCTTTGGGGCTCTACAAAATACCAAAATTAAAATAAAAAGATTGTAGGTAGAAAGAAAAGAAATAGACATAAAAGCATTATAAAGATGATTCCAAATACAAAGATAATTGACAGGAAAGAAAGCATGAATGAAGTGATAGCAATATGAAAAGGGATTAAGAGATAGCCTCAACCTCCTTCCCTCGGTCACATTGTCGTTAAAATCCTAGAATTATTTGAGGAATTAATACAAGATAGAAAAAGGAAATAATAAGATGATAACAGCCTTTCATTTCTAATAGAATTATACCTAGCATTCCATCCTTATTAATATTGCTTTCCTGTGTCTTTCTTTTTATTACCGACATGGGCGACATGTCGTGGGTGTGGCTCAAAATTAAATAGGAGGGGTTACGCAGGTTTTGGTCCATGTTTCCACTTACCAGGGTTCCATTTTGGTACCGGTTTTTTGAGCCACAGCCATGTGGATCTGGCGTCGGGCCATTGGTTTGACGGGCGACATGGATCTAACGTGGATCTGGGGTCATTGGTTTGGACGGTTTCTGGGGATCGGTGGATCAAAGTCAGAAAATGGTGTTCTTTCGGTTATTTCCCTTTAACCCACCACTTAAGGGGTGACCTTGATCATGGTGAAATATATGAGGCCAGTGAATATATGTGTCTTCTTGTAGGGGACCCCTACAAATGGCTTCCCTTGATTGCCCTTTAAAAGAACCTGAACAGCGTGACTCAGAAGACCCCACGCAGGATCTAACCTCCCTCCCCAACCTAACCCACCCACCCACGTCCCAACCCTCCTGTAAAGGACCCAATGTTTCAGGTATGAAGTTCATTTGTTGGACTTTGTTGTTGACACGGTTAAATAGAAACGCCCAACCATTTAAACCATCATCAGTACGGACCCCGACTGAACCTAGGTTGGGTTGTTTTTAAGAGAGCTCAATTGTGGGGTTCCATGAATAGAAATGGCGACTTTTTTTGTGAAGGGTTTGCCCCTTCCAATTTTTTTGGAAGTCCCAAGCGACTCTGGGTACCTTCTGAGGCCCTAAATGACCCCTGTGTGACCCGCCAAACACTTGGCCCAACTCTGTGCCAGAAACAAAAGGATCTTCAAATTCTGCTTCATATTTGGTCAGCCCTAAAATCTCAAGCCATTTTTGAAGACGGATAACGGTCCGAGCAGCAGGTCCTATCGACCTCTCCACGAGCGGAACGGGTGGAATTCCCTCGCACTCCATTCTGCACGCCTCATCCTGCGGCAGGCGCAGCGCGGCGCAGCACGCCAGCCTCAGACCACAAGAGGAAAATCGTATTGGGCCGTGAGGAAATCTGACATGTTTAATCTTGGGGGCTGGGGGGGAGGGAGGGAGGGAGGGAGGGAGGGAGGGGGGGGAGCCCCAATAAGCCAAATAAGGCCTTATTTGGGCTCCCTCCCCCTCCTTATTTGGCTTATTGGGGCTCCCTCCCCCTCCCCTCCCTCCCCCCAGCCCCCATGATTCAAAGTCAGCAACAGTTCCAGGAACAACAAGCATACCAACACACGCGTAGCCAAAGTCACAAAAACTTCCAGGCAAAAGTTGCATGGAAGTTCCGTGGACAACCCATGAACATTTGCTTACTAGGCAGGGATCCTTACATTATACACCTGAACATTGCCTTGTAAATGGTGGGTTCCATGTCTTTATTTTAGTTGAAAAAATGCCATGTTTCAAATGGTTGGAAAATGGAGATTTTTTAAGGAGCCCTGCCAGGCCACCTTCTTAACTTCAGGCCTTCGAAGCCACCAACTTGGGCTCTGGGCCCCGCACTCGCACAAATCCCCCACTGGGTGGCCACGAAGGAACTCCACCTTGCCGGCCGAGTCGAATCGGCGAATCGGCATTTCAGTCGGGGGGTGCTCCTGAACTTGGCGGCACCAAACAAACTGGTTGGAGTTGGAGGACCCAAACATGCAGGTACATGAATGATGCAAATTGGTTGTATCTCGAACGGATCCCAAGATACTACGTGGTTTTTCGGCGAAGTTGTGCCCGTTTTCGGGTTCATTGAGAGTGGACACCGGTTCCTTGATGACCATCCCGGTAGCTTGAGTCAGGCCCGCTGGGCTCGCGCGTCACTGGGCTCAACAAGGCACCCCGTGAGCCTGGTGAAAACCGAGAGTCCCTTTGCGGTGCGATAGGCAAGGAATCAGGGATTGAATGAACCGGAAGGCCCTAGGGTCGCCATGGGCATGGCTCATTTGTTTTCTTTATGTTGCTGGTGCGATAGGTGGGGAATGAGAAATGGAATGAACCGGTTTATGTTGCTGGTGCGATAGGTAGGGAATGAGAAATGGAATGAACCGGTTTTGGGGGTTCCCTTAAAGGAAAGGGTTTATAGATGTCACTCCCTCATTTCCTGCTGAGCACCTGCAAGTTGGGTCAGACCGAGCGCATCGACCACGAGCACCCCTTTGTGCTTGACCTCCTGTTCGACCCGCTTGGCACGAGTTGTAAGAAATTGACCCGGCTGAGGGAGACAAGGACACAACCTTCTGATACGGCGATCTTTTGTTGAGGGTGCTGAGTCAGCCAGCCTTGCAACCTACGGTATGCAACGGGGCATGCAGCGAAATGTCTGCCGCGGCTCTGCTACATTGTTGCATTCCCGCAAAACCGAACACTACTACCAATTGATCCTTTAAAGGTCACAGAACCAACCCAAGGATGGTGTGCTGGAAGATCCAGCCCTGCAAAGGATACTCAAGTCAAGGCGGAATCCACACAATAATTTCGCATCCAAAGCGTTTAACCCAAAGCCCAGTTGCCCAGTGACCCTGCTAGAACAGGGATCCTTACATTATACACCTGAACATTGCCTTGTAAACGGCGGTGTCCCTTTATGTTGGTGGAAAAATTGCCATGTTTCAAATGGTTGCAAAATGGAGATCTTTTAAGGAGCCCTGTAAAAAAAGGACACCCCTTTTTGCGGGCTTTCGCTGAGCAGCCGTGAGAGTGTACGACTCACAATAGACCAGCCAGGATTTTGGCCATCGAACCGCGGCAATTGAACGCTGTCTCTCTAGCCTGGAGTCATAATTGAAATGGATCCTCGAAACGAGGGACTCCTCCAGTGGTTTTCTTTTCTTTTGTTTTCCTCGACAATCCAAGGAGGCGCAAGCGTGACCCCACGAAGTATCTCCGGCGGAAACCTGCTTGGAACCCTGGACTAGCTGTCACTGAGCAAACAAAGGGGACCTTGTACCCAGGAAAAGCGGGATTTGGTGCATAGGGTTCATGTTGGTTCCCTGTTGAACCCGAACAAGCACGGAATAGGAGGCATAGAATCCGCAACTGTGCCGTTTCACGCATTGATCATGAATATTCAAGTGCCCATATGATGGGCCAAAGGCCAATAAACCGATAAGTGCGAGAAGGGAAAAAGCCGCGGTACGCTTAGCCAGAAAGCAACCAAGGAACATTCATGAATCCATGAAACACATTCGCTCAATTGCATTAAGTCGGCGAACACAGGCATGTGTCAAAACCTGAAGCTGGTCAAATGAACATGCGGCGGCCAATGTCTACTGTCAGCTCCGCAGCCAGATCAGGGTAAAAAGCATTGCGACCGGACCGCTCAGCAACACCATCTATCTGGGTGAGGTATAGTAGTTAAACGCCATGAAGCCACGGACAGCCAATAAATATCATCAGTGAGCTCGCTTCAACTGTGGGAGTGGCAAGAAGGGCAAAAGGACCGGGTCGCAGGGCTGCAAGCGCTTGAGTGGCTCTCAGGCGCATCCAGTAAGGCCGTCAGGCCACCGCACATTCGTAGAAGAAAAACCATCAACTTGGAGGGTCCCTCGTGATAGAAGTCGGCAACTCATGATACAGCTTCAGTTTCAATCAAAGTCAGAGTATGAAATGCAGCCCCGCTTTTGGGATTGCTTCCTTGAGACATCAAAGGACAACTGCTACCCTCACTCCCACTAACATGGCATCTGTAAGCGGGTACCTGGAAAGATCAGCTTCCTGTTGGAGGGACTTTTTGTCAGTTGCCATGTTAGCGGGATGGGTAATTGTTTCTTTGGGAAAGGCCCCGCAGTTTAATTCTAACCCAACAAATGCCAAACTTTGCCGCCCGTTTCCAACCAGTTGCAACGCGTCCATTGAAGCTTAGGCCCTCGGGCGAATTGGCCGTGGCAGGCATTGGCGGCCTGCGGATCGTCTGGGCCATTTGTAGGGAGCCACGAAACTCCAGCCATGGAGGTCGCAAGTCAGTTAAGCCAGCTGGGTGTGTCTTTCTGTGAGTGTACCCTTGGGTTGATTCTAAAGGGATACTGAAAGGAAAACAGCCATTGTTCATTTGTATTGAACTGTTTGTTTTGGGGGATCCCTTAAAAAAGGCAAACCCAGTTGCAGCGACCCAAAAGGCATAACGAGATGCAGTTGCACATCAACCCGAGGTCGTGCCGAGGCCGCATACGTTTCAGAAAACCCGCACTAGGGGTGTTACTAGCAGACCTTCGTTGGCTATAAAGGTGCTCACTCATGGTCAAGCGTGGTTCACCAAGAAACACAAAGCAAATCTTGGCGATCACCGTGAACATCTTCATTCTTCAATCAAAGCAGCCTGAGGCAGGGTCAAGGTGGAGCTACTTGGGATAGGCTGCCCTCTGAGAAAGGGTGAGGCATCAAAAAAGAATCAGTCAACATACTTCTGGAAATCTAGGACACACGTACTTTTTAGACATCAAAAAACACCAGTTGCGTGTCAGTTCCAGCATGTTGCAAAACCTAGAGGACACCAACATGTTGCAAAGGACATGGACAATTGCGGACATGTATAACATCGGAGCAAAATATGGCAAATATGCGCTGGAAAGCGAGCAAACGCAGCCAGCATGCAGCCAACATGCAACAAAACGCTGCACAGGTAGACAAATGAAGCCCACAAACAAAGACAGTGTCAAAAAGTGACATCCACTCCAATTGAACATGCTGAAAAAAATAAGCATGGCATAACGCGATCCCCAATCGACCGAAGCTTCTTCCTTCCGCTCTTTCGCTCTTTCCTTTCCTTCTTAATTCCTGTATTTCTTTCTTTCTTGCTTGTTTTCTTGCTTTCCTTCTTTCTTTCTTTATTTATTTCTGTCTTTTCTTGCAGTTGCAAAGCAACGGAGGATGTGTGTTTTTCCCGGCGCCTAGTAAGTGTGGTTGACGCCTAGTAAGGCCTCTTTTCAACAAGTTGTTGGTGATGCGCATGGGCATCTCCCAGGCAACCTTGAGGAAACAGCAAACAGCACTCGCCAATCTTTTCCCCTGGTTCCATCTTTGAAGGTTCCAAAGGCTCGAACCCCGAATGGCCAGTTACATTCAAAGGTCCTTGGAAGCATCTATCAGCGTGACTGAGCCAATGCGGTGCAGGGGAGTACGTTAATAAATCACTATCATCAGGCTTCATTGCGCAAAGTCATGTCCGAAGAAGTCGCAGGGTGCCGGAAACACACATGCCATGTCCCCCAAGGGACCCTTTGGTCAGTACTTACATTGAAAGTGATGTTCACCATTGAGGGCGTTCTATATGAATGCCCAAATTGGAGGATTGAGCCACCGATTCGTTGTATGGCAAGTAACTATCCCATCAGTTAGCACATGGACCCCTTATTTGTGACCTATCGATATCTTGGGAATTCTCCAAATGTGCGCCAGCTGCATCTGCTGGTTAGGTATGCTACGTGATTCTTCCTCATGACACAAAGGGAGTCCAAAACAAGCGCATGCGTCAGCGGCAGGGCTCTAAAACCACAGTGGGGCTCTCGGGTGAAACATCATCAAACGCAAGGGCCACCACAAATCAAGAAAGCTCCATCTCAGCACTCCGATCATTGCAGGAAAAGTCGCCCTCAAAACTAACCTGAAAGGAAATCTCACAAATCGAAACGCAGTCCTGAGTTCTAACATGGCAGCAGGCTGCCAAACAAAATGCGGCCTTTGCATGTCAGCACTGTCAGACCCTCTTTCTTTTACAGTGAGGCATGTGGGCCAACGGAAGCAAATGGTTATTCCTTCGCAACCCTTGGTTTCTCAGCCCACCTTGTACATTGCAGCAAACCAACTAGCAAAACTTAAGCACCCGCATCACATAGACAATGGGACTTTTGAGGAGCTTGCTACAAAACACGATCCCAGGGGTGAGCTCGTTTGTTTGTCGCTTAAAATGGTTGTGAAGTTCAATAGCGGACCCCCGGGAGTCATGTCCAGCACAATGCAGGTGGTTCCCCAAGAGCTTGAAAAGTTGAGGCAACAAACTTTGGAGTTGACACAAAGCATGGCAGTGAAGTATGGGCCAGCCAGAGACCGTCTGAACGGGTCCCCTGCATTCTCAGCTTTGTTGCCACCGACTAAAGAATAAACGGGCACCGTACAAGGGACCTGACAAAAGGTTTCGTGCCCTTTCACTCTCATTCTACCCTCTGCCCAAAGCACAACATGGGTGACTCCAGCGAGCCACATGTAACATAACTTCCATGTGTCTTGGGGAAGATTTTGAACACGTGACACATGTAAGGGAAATCCCAAGGTGCCACCATGTCTCCAGCTCCACGGGTAAAAAACGGGCGCTTGGCGCCGCGCCAGGCGCCTCCAAGGCAGGGCCCTGATGGTTCGGCTGCGGGCCCTTGCGAAACGAGACCTGGCGCGCGGGGGCGACGCGACTCTGGACCCCCTGCTCCGAGGTTTGGGTCGGAAGGGAGGAACGTTGGGATCTGACATCAACTGGTTCAGGCAAACCCCAACGAAGAGCTTTAGCTAAACCTAACCTAAATGGAGTATGAGTGCTTCGTACCTTTTGCAGTAGCTTTTACCTAATCCTAACCTAAATGAACTATGAACTATGAGTGATGAGTGTTTTGGAGGAGACCCAAAAGAGTTTGCTTCATGTTGAGCTTCCCCCCAAAAAAACAAACAAACAAAAAACATGTTTTGCACACCTTAAAGCTCGCGACGGATTGTGTTCAGGGGCCCCAGAAAAATCCAGTATTCTGGGACCGACATCGGGTCTCAGCACACCATTGCGATGACTACGTCACAAAATATGGCGAAATGGAGATTATCCTTTTGTCTCCCTGTAACGCCACAAAACCACTTCCCAAGTTGGTAACAACTTCTACCAAAATCCACGGGGAAAACGTGGAGAGAAATAGGGTGGATGTCACCGATTCATGGCTCAAACTGCTCCAATTCCCCGGGCGCAAAAACGTGACCTTTCCAACCGGAACGCGGCAAATCCGCTTGGACCGGGACCGGGAACCAAAAGAAATCCTGACTACACAATCAACAGAGGGCACCCAAAGAAGAGGTCCGGGAAAAGGAGATTCCTCGAAAACATAATGCATTTGTAAATTTAATGTTTTTCTCCGCTCTGTAATCTCTCTCTCTCTCTCTCTATCTCTCTCTCTTTGGCGGCAAACAAAGGAGAACAAATGTGTTTCCGTTTCAAGCCAAACAAAAAGGATGCCACCCCCGAAAGGAAGAAAGGAAGGCCTTTCATGGGAATGTCGGGCAATGTCGGGCAAAAAGGTAAGCTGTAGGTATAGTCTACTGGAAGGGAGTTGCCCTGGCAGATATGAGCACGTGAGGGCTCTTCAACAAGAAAGGATCCCAATTTTTGGTTCAAAGGGTGCCCTTGCTGTGTCCATTATGTGGTCCAAAGACCATTGCCCGAAGTCCAAAGTCGATCAAAGTTCAACTCATTGGCCGAGTCGGCCAGGGGCCCTTAAGGAGTTGCCGGCATGTCGAGGTCGGAACTCGGGGACCCAGGGCACCGTGTTGAAGCCGTGCGCAATCATCAGCAGCCTCGCAAAGGCAAGCGGACCTCCGAAAGCTCTTGATTGATAGAGAAATGATCCATTTTAAAGGACCAACTACACTTCTGGTTAGGAAAAGAAGCAGAACATCCCCCGGGTTGTTTCATCCGTCCACTACAGTGGGCACCCCTCAAATTCTGCCAGAAAACGTTCCGGCAAGATGTATAGAGAAACAACTGCCTTCCCAGCACAATACTCGAGGTAACTCGCGTCATGCATGCCATGATGCGAACGGCCATCAACTTCGAAATTAAGTGGCTTGAGAAAATCTAATGCGTAACTCAAACCAAGAGTCCAATTCACAAAGGAGATTCCTCAAACACGTGTTACTGAGGCTCCAGGATGTTCCTTGCTAATCTTCAGGAGGGGTAGGCAAAGCAACCAAATTTCAAGGAAATCTGTCATGTGTCGGGAGGCCACGCTCAGATACTGACCTGTTGGTGCCGGAAAGGGCAAACGGTGCCAAGATGAAAAGCAATCCCTCGCTTGCGCCAGGCAAAAAGACAAATGAAGGACGTCCAAGGCCAGCTCGGAGCAAATGGATCAAGTCTGAGCCTTTCGTTGCTAGCTAACTGATTGATTTGGCCGGACAAAAGAAGACAACACTTTTTGTTTACCACTAAAATTGTATTCCCACAAGGTTAAAGTCCAGAATCTCAGGGAGTTAGTCTTTCATATACACGCTTTCATAAACCCGCTACCGTACCCGTCAAATGCAAGCCGCTCCTCCGAATCCTTACGACCGTTTCGAAGGGGCGGGGGGTAAGGCTACCCTTTTCACCTTGCGTAAATCGGACTTCACTCCAAAATTGGGGATCCCAACTGTCAAACCCCAAATAAAGAGCGTCCAAATCCCTTTGACTCTAGGTTCTACTAAGATTGTCTTGGTACATAACGGCCGTGCTGCAATCACAAGGCCAGGTAGAACCACTCGCTGAAACAGGGCTCTCTATGTTTCCCCTTAACACATCACCCCCACAAAGGCATACTCACCATTGGGCCAAACAGGTGATGATGGTGATGTTTAAAACCACCCGACTCGCTAAGCTCCCTGGCTGACTCCTGAGCACAGCTTCCAACCAGGCGCGCATCCTCGGGAAGTCGGTGAGTCGACCGTGGATTCATTTCAAAAAGCTACCCTGAAAACCGATGCGTTGGGCCCTTTCGACCTATTTTGTCTGACCACAAGGCAACCTGGAGGTCAAAAGTCAAAACGAGGTTTGGCTTGTCTCCGCCACATACCCACGAGAAGGTCCATGCAGAAGGACCCCGGTTCCAGGTTTGTGCGCGGAGAGAAACACCTCCCAGAAAGCCTCGCAGACGGAAAATTCGGCCCATCAAAAAGCGAGAGTATTCATCAGGTCTCTAGGTCAGAAGGACAAAGGAAACCAAAGGTCCTTGAGAGTTTCAAGGCATCCTGGAGTCTCAAGACCCTCAATGAAGTCGCGACACTTACTTTTGGGTACAAGGGTCATGGAGACCGAGACAATCCCGCCCTTCGTCGGCCACACGCTCGTGCCCAGTTGACTTGAATTTGGCTTTGAGGAAGCTGGCGTGGTCTCCTTAAATGTAGTTGGCCAAACAAAACTGGGATGCCCTCAGATCCCCTGCTAAAAGTTTAACTTGTGGGTTAAATGGACACGACCACCAAACACTAAAAGGCTAAAAGGCTAAAAAGCTAAGGAACCGGATGGCTGGGAGCCACCCGGAAAACAACTGTTTCTTTGACACCAATATGGCCGCCTCTCACTTGAAATAATTTCAACCCAATGACGCATGCCGCAGAAAGTGGCGCTGAAGCCCAAGTTGGCTCAACTCCTCTCAATGAATCCCTCAATGACTGAGAGGCGGTAGACCAAGATGTATGACTTGAAATGGGTATGGGTCAAAATTAAACCACCAGCAAAACGGCGAAAATCTTAGTCTTTGGTTCCATTTACCAGGGCCGGCCATTTTGGGGTAACCCTATTTTTGCCCCACGGCCACATCTTGGTCTGCCGCCTCTCGGTCGTTGAGGGCTTCGTTGAGAGGAGTTGAGCCCAGAAAGCCTGACGCCTCCATGCACTCTGTTTGAATCCCAGCAGACGCCTGTTGAGCGATCCCTGCTTCCTCGCGCATCTTGGAAACCGGCTGGCCGGTTCCTCGTTCAATCCCCTCATTCAACCCCTTCAGCCCGTGGAAATACTCACAACCATTGGAAACACGCACCACTCGCTTGTCGTGATTTGGGCACCCTGCTTGCTGTGTGGGCACGAAACACACCTTTGTTATCGGAACACTTGACTCGTGCCAAACACCCTCAACCAGAATCATCTGGCAGTCCTTTTAGGGCAAAGGACCCACGTGGAGAAAACCAAACATGAATCTTGTTTCTTGGGTTTCCCGTCAAACAACCTCGGAAGCCATGTAATTCAGGGGGAAGCCACACCCGTGGCCCCAGCTCTTGCGGGACTTGCAGGCCAGTGAGCGTCCGCAGGACCTTGCGACGCCCGGTAAAAGCATACAGCGGTCATTAAATATTTCCAGTAATGATAGATTCCCGTTTTCCCTTTAAATCCCAAAAAGGGACAACATATTCTTGAGACAGTGGAAGACATTGCCATACCGAGGGCTCAAAACTCTAAGGATGTACTTTCGCCGAGTTTAATGATCCTCAACTCCTTACTTCTGATCGAGTGGATTGCTCAGAATAAGTCCAGACAATAACCAAAACGGCAGTCAAGAAGAAGAGGAGCCAGTGCAACAATGTCCGCTTTGCTTTCCTGGTCGCATTTTAGTGAAAGGCGCTCCATGTCCATCTCTAATTGACCGCAGACTTCTTCCGACATTTTGTGGTTTTTGGGCTTCAGTGCAGTCGAGTGCCCAAAACCAGATGAGTTGACTAGGCGGACAAGTATTGAAAAGGCTTGGTCGCCTTTGCCGACATGATGCCATCTGCCACAAAGCGTAAGCTTTGCCGACACAAACCCTCTTGAGGTTGAGTGAGCATGTGCTCTTTAAACATGAATTATGACTTCCATTACCCCCTTGGTCGTACGCACCAACCTTGTGACTTGCTTTGGCAGCCAGGGTCTGGAAACCCGTTTAAAAGTTAAAGTGATTTCGGGCTGAAGACAAAGTTATCTGGAGAGAGCTTGGTAACAGCTAAGGTTCTCCTGTTTCATCGGGTAGTTCGTCACACCTCCCCCTCCCGCAAGTTTGGAAAAGGACCGCCTTTACTCCGCAGCCCGTTCCCCTCCTGTGTTTTCCCTCTAGGAAACGTACAGGAATGCACTGGAACCTGTCAGAATGCCATGGGACGAGTATGGCCTTGGGTGTGGTCTTTGAAATTTGCACTGGAGATCACTCGAGCCCGGAGCACCAACCGTGCATGTAACTCCAACCGGTACAGAGGGCCACAGAAGTGGAAAAGCAACAAACAGTGCAGGGCTGTGAGAAAGAACATTGAGGGAACTCGGCTGGAGTGCCAGAATGGGTGTGATGTGAAACCCGAGAGTGCGCTTTAGGAAAGGCATATCTTTAAAGAGGCCTCTCTCGTTCGATGCTGTGCCAGAAGTTGCTCAATGATCTTGGTGGCAAGCAAAATGCCTGAATATTTGGGTGGAAACACAGCCGAGTGTTTCCAGCAAAAGCTTACCCTCCTTAAAATTGATCAAATTTGGGGGCCCTTGGAACCTTTTGAGAAAGGCGGGGCTGGAGATGTTCGGCATTCCAAACTCGCTGCCGGCAGGGAATGAGAAACGGAATGACCCCGATTTAAAAACCATCCAACTGGTGGGTTCAGAAATTCTTCTGGGTGACCCCGATCAAAAAAAACACCTCCAACCGGTGGCTCAATTTTTTTGGGCCCCAGAGCCTTGAGCCTTCATGTTCCTTTCTCATTCCCAGCCAACCGGTGGCTTCATTTTTTGGGCGCCAGAGCCTTCATGTTCCTTCTAATTCTCACTCCCAGCCCTCGCCATTCAAAATGTCCCCGGCCTCCACAGAGGCATGAAGCACCGAAGCCCTGGCCGGGCTTCGAGGCTTCGAGTCGACTCTTCGACTTGTCTAAGATGAACCCCGGGGGCCCAGTGAACCGCGAGCCTTGGGGTGTCAGGCTACAGCACCTTTGGGGACATCTTTCATCTTGAGCCAAACTTAAAATCAATCTTGCCAGTGCTTCAGATTTTTTTTTTTAAGAAAAGAAACACCTGGACATTTTTACGATGCTTGAAAAGAATGGGAAAGGAAACAAGACATAGAAACAAACAGGGGAATCCCCAGATACACCCTAGCTACAAACTGATGCAAAGCGGAGAGGTAAAAACAGCCCCCCCCCCCCCAACCCTAGAAGCTTTGGTTGCTTCAAGGGAAACCAACTTTCCAAGTCCCGGTACTTGTAAACTGAATGCCCTTTGCCCACCTAACGCGCATAGAACCAGAGAGCGGCACACCAAGCACATACCAAGAAAAGGTGTTCGAGAGAGCACCTTTTCTGGGTGCCAGGGAACCCCCCAACAGCCTCGAAAAAGGTCATACCCCGAAGAAGAAGAAAGGAACAAAAACAGACAAGGTGTTTTTTTTCTTGGAAACACCAGGTTTTCAGATTGAGTGATTTACAGGAACTCCACGGGCTTTCAAAAGGCAAGAGTTTGCAAACGCAACTGCTTCTGTAACAACAGATTACTTGACCGACCTCATGTTTTGAAGCCACATCACAATCACAGTCTGAAAAGCCCTCCTTTTGTCCAATCCTTGAGGAGCTAGCCAGGGCACGCTCGAGAACCTTCCAAATAACCTGAGAGGAAGCGCTGGAAGGGGGCCTGCTTTTGCAAAATTAGGTCAGAACACCGTGTACCATATTTGAATGGCAGCGTCAAGAGAGAAACAACAACCTCACCGAGAATTGTCGGTTTGGGGCGCCCGGAACCCATCATTTGTCCCACAGGTTGACACCGGTTAGCCACGGGATAGCCACTGGTTAGCCACGGGTTAGCCACGGGTTCCAGAAACACGATGCTTTCTGAAAATACGATGTTTGGGTGAAACAAACATCGGGTTGCCACGGGTATTCCACGCGTTCACTCCCTATTTCCCACGGGTTCCGAAGCTTTCCCCTGCCAAAGCAGCCGAAAAGTTTCACGTAAAGTCCAGGCTACACATGCAACATGAGGTTCGACAAACTCCCGTTGCAGGACCTACAGCATGGCAGTACGTGACATACGATGTCGCAATGGAGCATTCATTCACGGGTCATACATGGACAGCGCTTAAACGTATACCCCCAACACAAGCCTTCTCAAGTGCCCATGTTTGAAGGGTATGAAAGCATGGCCATCTCAGGCAAGAAAGCCTGGAAATGGCCTGAAAGCATCGATTGTGCTGATTACACAATGTGTTTCAGAAACCCGATGTTTTCGAGACATATTTTGAACAACACAATGTTTCAAAGAGGGCACAACAGACAAATTTACAGGGTTTGGAGTCTTTGATATGAGTGTATACTTGTTATGCAACCCAACAAAATTGTGTTTGCCCTCTTGTGTCCCTTCAAAACCACAAAAAGAGGTACCCTCAACACACACACACACACAACACACACACAACACACACACACACGCGCGCACACGCGCACGCGCACGCGCACGCGCACGCGCACGCGCACGCGCACGCGCACGCGCACGCGCACGCACACGTATATATATATATATATATATATATATATATATATATCATATTACATATATATATATATATATATATCATATTACATATATATATATATATATGTATGTTATATCTTATATATATATATATATATATGTTGCAGGGAGTGCCCCTCCAAGATTTGCCTTCCGGTAGCATGGGACTCCTTGGAGCCGCTCGATATTCTTAAGAGCTTCGACACCTTGCCCTGAGGTTCAGACCGATGGTTGGGTTAACAGAACCACCATTCTTGACCTAAGGATCTCTGTCCAAATTGGGCCCCAGGATCATTCTTTTGGCCGTGGGTCAAAATCCGGTACCCCCAGTGAACATCCCAATCCAACCACTAAAATAGGTTCTAAAATGGGTGGTGAATTCACCTACCCCAAAATGGGATCCCAAAACGGTTTTGACCCACTGCCTTTTAATGGCAAGGGACCCGGCATAGCTTTTCGCTGAGAAAGAGCAGAACAGGGCCCTGAGTCTGAGTCTCCGGGCACGTTGGCGCGGGCGAAGGCTAATGGGTGCGCCTCGGCTCGCAGATCTGCTGAACCACGGGGTGACTTTCTCATGGCATCTGTCCCGAGAAAACGACCCCAAACCAACCAACCAGCCAAACCAAACTCAACCAAACCAAACCAAACCAACCAACCAAAACCAACCAACCAACCAACCCGAAAAAAGAGGACCACTTGAAAAAGATGCAGGAAGGTTCCAGGGACTATGGGTGAATCCTGTTGGGGAGTTCTTTCTCCCCCAGCTTGCTCCAGCAGCTTGTCTTCTGGGATTACAAACCAAGCGAGCGACTGACCCACCAAAACCAAACCAACCCAGCCCAACCAAACCAAACCAAACCCAACCTAACCAACCAACCATGTACTAACCATGTCGCCACCAGATGCTAGGGGCAACCACCGGAAACTATCGGACTACCACCGAAAACTGGGAAATGTACACCACCCCCTTCTAGCCACCGAAGGGTATGACGCGCCAACCTTTTCCCCTCGAACCAAAAGGTTCTGGAGGGATTTTTGCTTCAGACACAAAGACCGGGGCGTCTGTGTGTCGAATCCGTCCACATCGCGAAGTGACAAAGACCCTTTTGGCGACCCGGCGTGGAAGAGCAAAGCCCACCACTTCAGCACAGACTTCAAGTTCTTCAAGAAGAAGGGACCTCACTGCGCTTTGCGCTTTCTCTCTCTCCGACGAGCAAAAGGTCGTGATTAAGCTGTTTGTAGGTACGGAACAGCCATTTTGCTTCCAAAAAGTCTCTCCGCGAAAATGATTCGGTCACACAGACGTGTCTACATGGAAGCGGCATCATGCTCTCAAAAGGGGAATGTTCATCTGGCAAGTTCTTCGCGACAGGGTTCTTTACATGCACCTTTTAAATAGTCTCCCTACCAAGATGGAATTCTTGACACATGGCCCAAAAGGTTTAATGCAGGGGAAACGCAAAAAGCCATGATCAATGATTGAGTCATTGGATACGAATCCAAGGGGGTGCGTCCCTTGAGTATCAGGAAACAAACCTTAGGGCAAGCCTGAGGCTTCTTTAGGGCGCCTCAGGGGGCGTTGAGGAATCCAAGTGATCCTCCACCCCGATACCTAGAGCAACTACAATTCATCAATTCGCAAACCAGAACGAAGAAAAAACAGCTCCCCTGCCCTTCGCAGCCTCAAAAAAGTGCGCCGTAAAAATATATATATATATATATATTATGTTAAAAACAAAAAACAAAAAAATCCAGTTGCTCCCACTTTGAAAGGAGCTTTGACAAAGGAGCTATCCCCACCCCCCCGACCCGATGTTGCCGAAGGCAACCAATTCCCGAGAACTTGCTGGTGCCATAGGTAGGGAATGAGGGAATGACCCCCATCCGTTCCTTGTGGTTTCCTGTTAGGGGACCAATTCCTGGGTTCATTCCATTTCTCATTCCCTACCTATCGCACCAGCAGTGCAGCAGAGAGAAAGCCGATGAGCTATGCCCATGGCGACCCTAGGGCCTGCGTTGATCACTTAGACTTGTCCACAACTTTGTTCGCCACTGGTTGGCTTTCTGATGGTTCCTGCCCCCCAAACACCTGAAAAACAAAAAAGTTCCAGCTGTTGAGATCTTGATTGCTGGGTCCAAAAGGAATTCCCAAAAGGCCAAGAGGTCGATGCGCATTGGAGAACTGAGTTGTCCTCAGCCCAGAAACGACCCGCGCCGAATCCGCGGCTGCGGTCGTTTTTCACCCGCCAGACCGCGATGAGCGCGAGAACTTTGGCGCCTGGAACCCCAGACTCGGCGACCTCGGAGGAATGGCGACGTGGTCGGCGTGATACAAATATATGGCCAAAACATCCAGTGGCTCAAATGGACAGCGACCAAAACCTGACTGTTGGATTGTAAAAACACGGGTTATGAGGCCCTGTAAACCCATGAAGCCAGGTAGAACCAACTCCTAAAAGGGCCGATGCAGGTTTTGGGCGCTCATCGGGAGCAGAAATCTGTCCACCAAAACAGGTAAAGACGGGAGCAACCAGCAATGTACGTCCATCCCAACTTACCGTTTCTTTGCTTCTGGCGAAGCCGGAGCGTCCAAAGAAGCGCAATCATCACCCTCCCAATGGGCGGCAGCTCCGAGCTTCAGGGTGGCCCATTTATTTGGCTTGCGGGTTAGGGACGCCTTGTTGGACCAATCCCCCAGGCACCCGCCAGCCGGATGAATACAATCCCTCTGATGAGTGCCCCAAACCCAGTGACTGTTGGTTCTACATGGGTGAATCTGTAGCCGAACCTCACTATAACCCCCCCCCCAAAAAAAAAGAAAGAGAAAAAAGATCCCGGATTTCAAGCACCTGGCGACTATTGGGGTGTTCCCTCCAAAAGTGAATGTTTGCCCCACTTAACTGGGACATCCCCCCCGGCTGCTCAACCTGCTGAACCAGGGGTTTGTGAAAATCCTGCAAATTGGGTAAAAACAAACGGCATAACTCCCATGTTGGTTTCATCACCTCCTCTCTTCTCGTTACCCAAACGAAGTTGCGCCATGTCGAGCTGGTGAATGGAAACCTTGAGGCTCGTTGGTAAGTGGGCAAATGGTCATCCCGGGCTCGTTTGCGATCCGTGCCTTCAACCCAGCCAGATCTAATTTCGCCGTGGACCCACCAGCACCCGCAACTTTTCCTGTTTTTACCTCAGATGCCCAGTGGCCATGGCAAAAAAAAGGGCATCCTTTTTTGGCTGCTTGACTTTGAAGGGGAACCCTTCACAAACGGTGGAAAAAAGGGCCCAACTGAGCAACAGAGTTGCTGTACTTGGGGTTTTGGACATAGAAAAAACAGTTGCTGGAGAGTGCTGCCATGCGGCTCTGTCTCCGCCTGCGGAACCTCCCCGCGGCGCGCGGGGGTTTTGGGCGGCCTGCGGATGGAGTAAAACTAGCCAAACAAGCGAGCGACCAAGATACCTAGGCAAATCCACCTTACAACTCGACTCAACCTTCAAAGGTGGTTTTGCATCTTGTTGAACAAATCAAAGTATTTATTTGCAGCAAATAAGTGTGTTGGTCCAAATCTTTGCTCCCTTTAACATTCATAGCCTTTTACTCCACTGCGAATTGACATGGCATTCCTACGTTTGCGCGGTACAATGTGATTCTATATCCGGGAATCAACTATCTGGAGCCGTCTACTGACCGCTGGCACTTCACAATGAGGAAGCCATCAACATAAAAGTTGTTTACGAAGCAAGGGCTGACAAAGCCTGGAAACTAATGCTAACATTGGACTGATGCATGCCACCAAGTACTGACGCACATGTTCAAGACCCGATACTACACCATTCTAAACTCTGACGCGGCTTCGGAAGTTGTACCGTGCGTTCGGCTGACTATCCTTGTTGTGTGATAGATTTGTCAGCTGCTCAGTTATCCACTTGTCTCTCGGTTGCACAATTGAGCGCTGGTTGGATTGGACCCTTCCGCGGACCAAGAGGTCCCTTCCGCGGACTTCCGACATCGCTTGCTCCCGCAAACCTTCCGCGGCCCATTTGCTTCCGCAAGCATTGGCGCAAGCGTGGGCCCTTCTTGATCGCAGCAACAGCTTTCTGCTTTTACTGTTAGCGTGTCCAAGTCTTTGAAACAGCTCATGTCAAACCAAAAGCTTCTGCAAACCTTCCCGAAAGAAATCCTTTCCGCGAAGCCTTGCGCATGTGCGCGGTGCGCACTTATGCACACTTTGAAGAATCATGTCGCTCTCCCTACAAAGTTAGCCTGCTTGCAAAAAACAACATGCCTCTGAATTACAATCATGACGCGGATGCATGAGACCTCAGCCTTTCTCAATTAATGTTAACGTCGGATTGAATAAACCGTGCCCCAGCTCTCCATCCAGGAGGAGGTCAAACCTCAGATTAGAAGGGTTGCGGGGGTTAAGGCGGTCTGCGGGAGAAGATCGTGATACGTGGCAGCTCTGCGGGGTTGAGGACGCATTCGGAAGCGAGACTTGAATTGGATTTGAAAACACATGTATTTCTGTGCACCGATACACTTGCAAGGGAATTGCTTTTGTTGACCTGTGTAGGGTCGTTTTCCAACCTGTCCGGGGTCAGGGTCGTTTTTTGACCTGGTCAAGGGTCATTTGTTGGACCTATGGAGGTGGGTCTTTTCCCTCACGTCCTCGCAAGTGAAATATGCACAGAACCGAACACGGGGCAATGCAGAGGACCGGGGAATAAGAAGACCTAGTCCCGGCAATAATTATTGTCCGCTCGTATTCTGCTGCTGGCTGTCTCCAAATGCAGCAACCAAACCGAGCGTCCTTCTTGTGTAGCAAAAAACAACCCCAAACACCTGGCCAACTCCAGGTCATAAACTCTAAGACATGAAGAAATGTCTGGGGACACCAAGTTAAGATCAAGAACCAACCGGCTTTCTCCCTGGCCGATTTGGCATCTATCCAGTCCAACAGAAGTGAGCATGGCTTCCCAGAAATTTCATCTTCCCCGACCCTCCAAAGAATGCTACCATAACAGGGACCTGAGCATGGAGATGTGCCCTTTGAGTTGATTGGTTGGGTACAAGCTACAAGCCTTTTGGCAAGGACCCCCAACCTGCCCCTCCAAAAGAGAAGAAACCACCAAAAAGCCCCGGGGTGTCACTTTCAAATCCAAAGGACCTTTGTTGGGTGCGGCGTCGAATGGGCTCTAATGGGCTCACTCGAATGCCACATGCTTGTCCCCTTTTTTGCGCCAGAGATCGGAATCTGGAACACTGGTTTTGGAGCCCACGACATAAACTGCTGGGTATGTTGTTGGTATTCTTGACCAACCTGCAGGAAGCCGCGACTTCTGTCCGGCTTAGGCTTTGCGCTGCGTCTTCCGGCCGCAAACTTCGAAGCGCATGGACCAAAAACACCATCGGGAGCTCCTGTCTGTCAGCGGCTTGGCCCAGTTCTGAAGCAAGGCCCCCGCCACCGGCGCGTGGCCTCGCGAGGGTTTCGAAGAACGAGCGGACCTAGGGACTTGCTGGACATCTGGCTGTGGGTCAAACCTAGGAAACCCCAGGTGAACATCAAAGGTGGCAAATGAATGTTCGTCCACCCCAAAACGGAGCCATAGGTTATGCCCCATGGCCTAGGTGAGGATTCAGGTCCACCCACTTTCGAGGCTCGCTACTGATAGTTGCGCAATCCGTTCTAGGGCACCACAGTTCAGAAACCCGGTTTCTGACAGGATTCATACTGCAAATAAAGAAACAATGGCTTCAACCATGATTTCAAAGTGGTGCGAACGGAGTTTGCTCATCCACAGTATGACAAGAGAGGGGTATCACGTATTCCTCACTTCCGATCGAGTGCACTGGCCAAAACAAAAGCAACCAAACGTCCTTTGTTGCCGCGAAAATGGTCATTGCAAAACGTTTAAAGTCCACGAACTCAGGGAGTGAGCAGAAGTTTGGGCTTGTCCCTGCTAATCCTCCAGGGCATATTAATATGGCAACACTATGTTTGTATGGGCGACTCAAGACAGCTACTAAATCAACGAGGATTTGTGCCATCTGCTTTCACACAACTGTAGGGAGGAGATGAAAGAGGTACTTGCAGGGGAAACCATTCTACCAACAAGGCATGTTGTCCACCAAATTTGAGGGCATTCCAAGAATGATGACATTTGGGGCTGGTTGTTTGAC